TTTTAATTTAAGTTATTACGTTACGTTAACGTAAAGTAAAGAAATAAATAAATAATACTACTTAGTTATAACAAAACAAACAACAAACAAACAACAACAATACTACTCTCTCTCTCTCTCTCTCTCTCTCTCTCTCTCACACACACACACACACACACACACACACACACACACGCACACACACACGAATATTCATTATCCCAAGTGTTACCTGCAAATCATGAATTTTGACTTCCCCAATTAAGGGCCATTTAGGATCTGGCCTGCTTTCTTCTATTACAAGGGGAGGTTCACTAGGCATACTTGAATATTGAAAAATTCTCTCCACTGATATCATCTTGTTCTCAAGGTTGCATAGGTTCCATACAACCCATGCCTGTAGCATGTTCAGGTTCAGTCCATATGTCACAGCTAAGCCAGCAATGCCTGAAAATAAGGCAAGGTCATATGCCCCTTCCTTTCTGCATCGTGTGCCCAAAACTAAGTGAAAATAAACTAGAATCATAAGGACAATGGAAAACCAGACTCCATTGTGCTTATCACTGCCAGATTACAATGGACGTTAAAGGAGAGTGGGAACCATCGGAACAGGACACGACCAAAATGATGTGTAACACTCACTCTCCATCAAAGTCCACAATTGCATTGGACAGTGATGGTTCCCTGGACTACAGCCTTCCGTAGTCCATAATGCACTGGACAAGAGTACACGTTCTGTAATTATATATGCAGGGAACGGAATAGGTAATGGATATAAGTTCTCAATATGGGCCTACCAGGATCGATAATTCCCTTAGGCAAAGTGACCAAGAAAACTAATGAGAAAGCAAATGTTAAGGCTGAGAGCATATCCAATCGGAAACAGAGCCATTCAATTGCACCCGCATTATAGAACTTGGGTCTGGAATATGCATCTATCAGCTTTAGATTGGTGGTCATGAATCTTGATTCCTTGTCAAAACTTCTGATGGTCGTTGAGCCTGATATTGACTCGGCAAAATGCTGTATGACTGGAGCTTCGCAGACCCCCACCAACCGGGCCAATTCCCTGGCAGTGGGTATGTAGTATTGCTGTTAAACAAAGACATGGGCCAAGAGAATCAGAATAAGAAATTCTCCTATGAAAGTAAAAATTCACAGAATCTTCAGAAGAACAACAAGAAATGAAGTTTGTAAACTATGGGAAGCAAGAACTGAATGATTGAGTGCCACATCGTGCAGACCTAAAATAAAGGTAGAATGATGGAAGTGTGAGTTCTTAGGTCTTTGAAATCTGGAGACAATCCAAGGAACTCCACTGATTGCATCAAATGTTAAGTGGCCAAATAAGAACTCAGAATTCCTTCGATAGTCCATACTTTTTTTTTTTCATTCACAAGGTTTATAGGACAGTAATCAATACCACACATTTCACAGAGAGGTCAAAAACCAATTCCAGCTACTCAGCCCAAAACGCATGACACTACAAACACCTAGAGAAATTTGATTATGACTGTTTTCATTTCACTTTATTGGTCTAATCTAAATTCCAAAAAGTTGATGTCAGTCTGAACTTTCTTCATGGTCCTACTTGCTGAATGATCCTCCAATGATATATATTCACTCAATTTTTAGATTATCTCAGAGTGATGAGCGGTTCGTCTTGAAGAAAATCATAAAAAAGTGGGACCATAACAAATTGCTGGGCTTTTCAATTTTATCAGCAAGGTAACATGCATTACCTGGTACCAAATAGAGACAACAATCACAGGGATGAACACAATGAAAACCTGCCAGGCAACCTGTGACATAACCGCAATAATACCGAGAAGTTGGATTACTGTAAAAGCAAAGGCTCCAATCTGGAAAGGAATTAACATATCCACTGCACTTTGATCAGTTGATGCCTGCAATAATAAGGGCCATTTAGTATACCCCATAACACACCCCCCTCCTTCTGTTGTAATCGATGGTGTTGCAATTACAGCAGGGGTTTATCAAAGTAACAAATATCGTGCATCATAAATCACATAAAATAGCAATGGAAACAACATTATATCATAAAATGAAATTACAACAACATGTAACTCACACTCACAGAGCACAAAGATTTAACGTGGCTCAGCCATAAAACGTGACCTACATCCATGGGAGAATGGTGTGAGGCTTTACTTACTAATTTGATAGAGATTACAAGAGAGATTGAGTTCCATAGCTCCAATTTACAGCAACTTTAACTCTCTCAAAACAGGGCCTAAAATAAGGTCCAAACACACAACAAATGTGCACTTCTCTCTCTAGAACTGGGCCAGCAACCAAGCCTCAAGAACCCAACAAAGCTCTCTCTTCTAGCACTTCTTCTCACTAGAAATAGAGTAGGAAACCAGGGCTGGAAAAACCCCACCTTGAGCTTTCTTCCGTTTTGCTTTTTCACTCTCACTCTCTCTCTCTCTCTAAACAAAAGGGTTTTGATCCCTTTAGAGAGTAAAGTTCCTACAGCATTACAACCATGGAATTGGATGCAAAATGAGAGAGGAAATTCAAATATAAAGAAGCACATGTGTGATTTGGTTTTACACATGTGACAATCTCCCACTTGAAGACAAATCACCATGCTTCTAAAATAACTACCAATGCACCACTTTTCATCCACTCATGGTTACGTTTCATCCAACCCCGAAAGTCTCCTGCACATCTTGTTCTTCTCGGTTGAGACAACCTTTGTCAATATATCAACAAGGTTCTTGTCAATGTCGATCTTGTTCACCTGCAGATCTCTATGCTCGAGGGCCAACCGAATGAAATGATAGTTGACCTCTTTATGCTTTGTCTTGGAGTGATAAGCTGCATTTTTAGCCAGATGAAAAGCACTCTGGTTATCACAATGCACAACATACTTATCATATTTAACCCCAAACTGGTCCAGTAACCTCCTCAACTAAATTACTTCCTTTGTTGCCTCTGTCAATGCCACATATTCAGCTTCAGTTGATGACAAAGCAATAAGATCTTGCAACCTTGACATCCAACCGACTGCACCACCACCAACTTTGAAAATGTACCCAGTGGTAAACCATCTAGTATCACAGCATCCTACATAATCTGCATCTACACAACCCTTCCAATGTTGAGTTTCCAAAACACAAACATACATTTCGTGTCCCCATCAAATACCAAAAGATCCACTTAACTGCTTGCCAATGTTCCCATTCTGGATTAGATATAAATGTAGAAACAACTCCCATTACATGGGCAATATCATGTCTACTACAAACCATCCCATACATCAAACTACCAACTGCAGAAGTATATGAAATATTTTCATCTTACTTTCATCGGAGAGTCTTTTTTAGACAACTTAAAATGTGCAGCAGCTAATGGTGAGAAACATATTTATAGCCAATCATATTGAAGTGCTCAAGAATTTTAAAAATATATTCAAATTGACTTAACCAAAACTTACCTTGATTTCTATCTCTATGGATATGCATGCTCAAAATCTTTTTAGCTGATCCAAGATCCTTGGTGGTAACATGCTTGGACATATCAAGCTTTGAACACTTGATTTCATTCAGATCATTGCTAGCAATAAGCATATCATCAGGCTAATATATACCATTGCCTAGATGCTTGTTTCAAACCATACAATCCCTTTTTCAACTTGCAAACCAAGTTAGGATTGGTTTTATTCATAAAACCTTTAGGCTAATAGATATAAATTTCTTCATCTAGATCACCATATAAGAAGGCAGTTTTAATAGCAAATTGTTCTAGCTCCAAATTCAAGTTAGCAACTAACGATAAAATAACTCTAATAGAACTATGCTTAACAACAAGAGCAAAAATTTCATTAAAATCAACACTTGGTTTTTTCCCATAACCATTCACCACAACTCTGGCCTTATATTGCATAAGACCATTTGCCTCCCACTTAATTGCATATACTCACCTATTCCTCAATGTCTTCTACTCATGTGGAAGTCCTACCAACTTCCTTGTACTATTTTCATGTAAAGCATTAAGCTCCTCCTCCATTGCCTTAGGCCACTATCCAGCATTAGGGCAACAAATAGCCTCATGAAAAGATTCAAATTCACCACTATTAATATATAAAGCATAATATAAGAAAGGAGAGTACCTTGTGTAGGCTTGTGAGGATGTCTAGATCTTCTCAGTTCTTGCTCAGGTGTATCTGGTAAGTCTTCTTCATCTTCAATCAATTAAGTGTCATCATCATAACTAATATTACCTCCATCAAATTGTCTTGAGCTTAAGCTTGAATATCTCGCACTTGTCGAGGTGACATAATGGGATTTTGGACTTCTATGTCCACAACAAGCCTTTTTTGCTTTGGCTCTTCTTGTGTCTTTTCAGCAACCATCACATTCTCATTAAAGAAATCATCCCTACTTTTTATGATATTCTTTGCAATACGATCTCAAATCCTATAACCTCTATCATCATCATTATACCCAAGAAAAACACATTTTCTTGACTTTGCATCCAGTTTGGCTCTACTTTCACTTCACACTTGAACATAAGCTTCACACCCAAATATCCTCAATTGTTCATATGACACACTTTTACCTTTCCAAAGAATTTCAGGTATTTTACCATTCAAGGGTGCACTAGGAGATCTATTAATCAAATATACAACTGTATTAACAGCTTCATCCCAAAATTGCTTACTGAAGCCCGATTGTGAAAGCATGTTTCTTATTCTTTCAATGGTAGTCATATTCATCCTCTCAATGACACCATTTTGTTGTGGTGTCCCAGGAATAGTCCTTGCCCTGTGAATGTCATTCTCTTACAAAAAGTATCAAAAGAATTCGAGCAATATTCACCAGCATTATCAGTTTGCAAGCATTTAACAAATCTCTCTGTTTTGTTTTCAACCTTGGCTTTGAAAACTTCAAAAACTTGGTCCTTAGATACCAAATGATACAACTAACAATTTCTAGAATAATCATCTAAAAAAATGACAAAATTAGAAGCTCCATCAAGAGATTTAACATTAATAGGCCACAAACATCAAAAATTATCAATTCTAATGCTTTACTTTTTTTATGAGAATCATTTCTTTTAAAACTGACTCTATGCTGCTTACACATGCCTTAATGATCACAAAAATCAAGAAAATGATGTTTAGAAATAAGAATAAGGTTTTGACTTTGCAATACTTTCATACCATGCTCACTAAGATGACCCAAGCGACTATGCCAAACCTGCATGTCTTCTTGCTTACTAGCTGTAGCAACGATCTTTTTTGCATCATCATTCCTTTGAGTCGTGCCATGAAGAATGTAGCGACTCACATCCTTTTGTCCTTTCAATATTGTCACACAATCTCTTGAAATCTTCCATGACCCATTTCTAAAAATCACTATACAACCAGAGTCATCCAATTGCCCGGCTAAAATGAAATTTTTCTTCAAGTCTGAAACATGCCTCACATTTCTCAATGTGTACTTCTTTCTATTTGATTACTTGATAACAACATTTCCAATGCCCAAAATTTTGAAAACTTGATTATCACCACAATAGGCAAAAGCCACCATTCACATCTGTATATGATAAAAAGTATGATCTTTCTGGGCAAACATGAAATAAAGCACCAGTCCAACACCAAAGTATTTTCGGTAGACAGTGTTCTATATGCAATACTAAAAGTGACCCCATCTTCACTATCGGATACCGTACTTGCTTCGGCATGGCTATCCTTGCCCTTGACCTTTTGTTTATTCTTCAAAGCATAACAATTTTTCCTTGTATAACCAGCAAGTAACCTTCTTGCCCTGTGACTTAAATCTGCCTCAAACATGAGATTTATCCCTATTAAATCCAGATGGTTGATCTCCATGTTGCGTTCTACCTCTATCTCCTGCTGCCAATGCTTGATTTGATTCAACAAGCATTTGTGTGGATGCATTTCTAGTATCTTCATTTAACAATGAAGCAGCAGTTTTCAAATTAAATTGTTACCCATTGCATTTGCCACAGTGGTGACCAAGGTATCCCAACTCGCCGGCCAAGAACTCAGCAAAAGCAAATACAAAACTTCTTCATCCAAATTGACTTTTAGAGACCTCAATTGTACAGAAATAGAATTAAAATCACTTACATGCACTTTAATTGTTGCGCCTTTTTTCATTTTCAAAAGAGAACTTTTTATGGCACGTATTTTATTTTCACAAGAGGGTTGCTCAAAAGATTGCTCTAAAGATTGCCAAAGCTCTGCAAATGTTTTACATTGACAAACATCAAATAAAATTGAGGGTGTAATACAAGGTCTAATGGTTACCAAATATTTTCGATCAAGAATAATCCATCCCCAATCTCCCATTCCAACAGTTCCTCAAAGTGGCCGATTTAATTATTTCCCAACAAGATAATCTTCCATCATCATTTCTCATATTGGCTAATTATTTTGATTTAGTTTCTCAAACTCCATTGCCCTTTCCATTTTAAGAAAAAATACAGCAAACAAGCACAATAGTAAAAACCCATTCATCCCAAACCATAGAATCACAAACCCTAAGCTCTGATACCGGTTGTTGTTATCGATGCTAGTGAAAATACAACAGGTGTATGTTTCATTTACGGCTATTGTGCACCCCAAAGTATCACAAACCAGCAAGGGAAACAATATAGCACCAAAGCAATATCATGGAAATGAAAATACGCAATATGCAACCACCAAACACAAGGTTTTATAGTGATTCAGCCACAAAAAGTGACCTTCATCCACGGGAGAATGTTACGAGGCTTTACTAACTAATTTGATAGAGATTACAAGAGAGATTGACTTCCAAAGCTTCAATTTACAACAGCTTTAACTGTCTCAAAACCGAGCCCAAAACAGGATCCAAACAAACAACAAATGTGTACTTTCTCTCTCTAGATTGGGCCGGCAACCAAGCCTCAAGAGCCTAACAAACTCTCTCTTCTAGCATTTTCTCTTACTAGAAATAGAGCAGGAACACCAAGGCTAGAAAAACCCCATCGTGAGTGCTCTTCCTTTCTTGCTTTTTCACTCTCACACTCTCTATAAACAAAAGAGTTTTAATCCCTTTAGAGAGTAAAGCTCCTATAACATCACAACCATTGGGATTGGATGCAATCTAATGGCCCAAAAGGAGAGAGGCAAGTCAAACATAAAGAATCACATGTGAGATTTGGCTTCACAAATGTGAACCCCCCCCCCCCCTTGCCTGGCCAACCAGAAAAAAAAGAAACAAACATATACACACACAAATGCTCACACACACATGCACGCACAGGCAGGCACCCACATACACATAATACCATTCCATAGAAAGCACAAAACCCACTTGGGTTCCCCCAAAAAGGTTTTTGCAATCTGACTTAACAAAAATTGCAGGTACAATGAATTGAACATTAAACTCACCCTGTTCAGGATACGTCCAGTTGGTGTGGAATCAAAGAATGACATTGGAGAACGAAATATAGACAGATGCATCTTCTCAAACAGAATGGCAGCGGTCTTGTACACAGCAGTCAGATGAAGCAAGGACCTTGCAAGGATACAGAAGGAACTCACCACTGCCAAAGCAACATAAATTAGTAGCAGAAGCAAGGGGCTAACTGTGGGCTCAGAATCCTCTGAGACAGGGGTTGCCCAAGCCATCCAGTAATTGCTACCTATCTGAAGGATTTGGAAGAGGATCTGAGCCATCAATATATGTGGAACAAGAGCTCCTCCATATGCAGCTGTAATGTACTTCCAATAAACTGAAAACCCAACACTCCCCTTCTCCCTCTCCTCTTCCTGAATAAGCTGCCCCTTGTTCTGGTTCTCAACTACTGGTTCATTTACTTTACCTCCCAGAAAATCCAGTTTTGGCTCAGCGCTTGTGGAGGTTTTCACCGTGTTTTGAGAACTCTCTAAATCTCTGGACTCCTGTTTTCCGAGTTTCACAGAATCAATGGCTTCGAGGGCCTTATTATGAGCATCAACCAGTCCCATGAAATCAGTTCCAAAGCTCAGAATGCTGTCATACTTCCCAGCTTGGGTAATCTTTCCATCACGCATAACCTACACAAAAATTCACAACGTACTGGTTTATAAGTAGTCCAGAAGAATGCATTGGCATTCTCTAAAAGTTCAAAAGCTATTTGTTTCTCAAGTTGTTGGTGTATAACAGATTGAAACTTTGAAGTAATGCAGAGAGATATTAGAAAGAAAAACAACTCACCAGCACAATATCTGCAGCAGGTAAGAACTCCACCTGGTGTGTCACATATATCACAGTTTTTGAAGCCAAAAACCTGAGCAAGCACTCCTACAAGGACACAAACTAATCAGAAAGACACCCTCATCACACAAATGGGACTAAAGAAATCTCAAGAAAGTTAAACTTAAAAGACAAAGAAAACGTGCAACAGGAAAGCATAGAAATTGAATAGAGTAGATAAATATAATTTATTGAGAAAATGCAGTTTCATGGCAACTTACAGTCAATTATTTTAAGAAAGGATAACCAAGGGGAGTAAAAAAGGATCACCTGAAAGAGATGGGTTCCTGTATGGGCATCAACAGCACTGAAGGGATCGTCAAACAGATAGATATCGGCATCTTGATATATAGCACGTGCAATCTGTATCCTCTGCTTTTGTCCACCACTCAGATTGATTCCTCTCTCGCCTATGACTGTCTGATCTCCAAATGGTAAAATATCAAGATCCTTCTTTAATGCACAAGCTTCAAGAACACGTTCATATCTATCTCTCTCCATCTCGTTCCCAAACAATATATTGTCTTCAATCTTCCCACTCTGAATCCAAGGAGATTGAGCCACATAAGCCTTTGTTCCACACATTTTAACAGTCCCTGAGACCTTGGGAACCTCTCCAAGGATGCAAGAGAGCAGGCTCGACTTGCCCGAACCAACAGTACCACAAACTGCCACTTTCATGCCACGTAGGACCCGAAAATTCAAGTCTTTCAGGCTGGGGCTTGGAGAAGAAGGATCCCAAGAGAAAGACCCATTGCTTACTTCTACGGCAATCTCAGAAGAATGCCTTTGGAGCGTTTCAACTGTATCACTTGGAAGATCTTCGAGGCGAAGAAATGAAGCAATTCTATCAAGAGAAACCTTGGTTTGAACTGTCATGGATATAAGATCAGGGAGATTGTAAATGGGTTCTTGAAGAACCCTGAAAGTGGCAAGAGCCGATAAAATTTTCCCTGATTTAAGAGGGATGCCCATAGGCAGGCAAGCCCCAAAGGTGACCACTGAGACAAAACTTGGAGCACCATAAGAAACAAAGGTGGTCATGGCCGACGTGTAAAGAAACTTCCATAACCAGCTCAATTCAACCTTCCTCAAGTCTACGATCTTTGAGAGAAACCTCATCTCCCATCCCTGAAGCTTGAGGATTCTCATGTTCCTTAGTACCTCAGACATGGATTTCATCCTCTTATCCTTAGATTCCATGAGCTTGCCTTGGTACTCCTCTTGAAGAATCCCCATAGGAAGGTTGGCAAGCATCACAAGAAAGGTGGCAACCAAGGCAGCCACAGAGGCAAGGCCAAGGCACCTGTATAAAACCAATAGAGCAAAAAGCACTTGAACCGGGACCATCCAAAGGTCATGCATATACCAACTGAAATCTCCGATCCTCTCTGCGTCCACGCTCATGAAATTGATTATCTCACCGCTCATATGGCTCTGCCTCGATTGGCTAGAGAGAGAAAGTCCCTTTCGGTAAATCATGGCAACCAGGGCTGCCTTGTTACGAATGCCAACTTGCTGTAACATGAAAAACCAGCGCCTTTGGGCGATGCACTCGACCATCTTAGAGAAGAAGAATGCCAAGACCAGGAAGTATCCTTGGTGCTCAAATTGCTGAATCCCATTCAGATACTGGACAAAGCTATCGATGAGATAAGGACCCACGTAAGAGGCACATGTGTATAAGAGAGCCCAGAAACCAGTGATGAAGACTTCTCTCCAGACTGAGACTACCAAAGCTCGAGTTAGTTGCCATGTGCTCACCGCATTGCCTTCAAGCTTTTCTCTAACCACAGGGTAAACCCCATTAACACTATCTGGCTCTGCAAGCTCGGGGACATCATCGAGGTCCAATGCTTTCTTGTAGCCCTTTGTTAACAATGGGTTCATCCAAGAAAAGGTGAAAATCCTAAAGAGACCTGCAGTTGCATAAGGTCTCCTTTCACCATCTTCCCCTGGTTTTCTTTCAACAAATGTCCCATTCAACAGAGGTTCTCTAATGGTGGTTTCTTCACAGTTAGCATTTCGAATGGTTCCGAAGAACCCCATATAACAAAGAAGAGAGGCGCAGAGGATCATGAACCCATCAACATATAAGTAGTAGAGGGGAATCGATTGGAGACGGAGACGAAATGCGAAGAAGTCATGAATGGAGATGGTTAGAGAAATAATAAAGAAGAAAAGCAACCATATCCTCAATAAGAGAGAGAACTTGTTTTCTCCCCCCTTGGGTAAATGCGACTGCAAATAAACCGAGGTTACTGACCAAGCCAAGGTTCTGATGATCAAATCGGATTCAATTGCAACGAACGACTTCGTTCCTCCTTCGCCACCTCGAAAGAAAATGAAATTGAAAACCGAAAGAAAGGCATAAAACGCAGACAATGCGAAGCACAGGAAGAGGCTAAGCTTGTAAGGACGACTGAACCTGGGTTTTGATAAGGTTTTTAATTGAGAACTCTTGGGCCCTTTTCCAACCAAAACAAAGACAACAAATGCAAAAACACCCAAATGAAAAACAGAAGAAAGGGCGTGAAGAAGAAGAAGAGAACCATTTGCAGAGATGTACTCCATCCCAACGTCACTGGTTCGAATATAGAATGATTGAAACCGGCCTGAAAACTCAACCATATTCCTCCAAATTGGATTCATGGCTTCTCCCATTTTACTGAACCGAACCCAATCTAAAAAAATGGAAAAACGAAGACAGATATAGCATTGCTCCTAGGCGGTATCAGTGGCCCTATGAGCGGGAAGGTTTGAATAGAGGTAGAGGAAGTTTGGGGAGCACGGTGGGGGCGGAGGTGGTGGATTACAAGAGGGGACGCGGCGGTCACCTCCTCGAAAACGGCCAAATATCGGAAATCCACGCCCATTTAATACTAATGCCAAAATGTTCCATGCTCCCACGGGATCACGCTGTTGCATTACTTCTATTATTATTATTATTATTATTTGGGGGCGGGGGGGGGGGGGGGTGTAAAACCCTTGTGTGAGATTTTAAAACAAATTTCCAAATCGGACTCTCTATATACTTTGAGAAAAGATATATCGTAGACTCTCCAGAGCCCGTCTTCCCTATAATATAGGGAAAATTATAAAAAATCCCACAAAATATGCATTTTATGCAACTTACCGAGTTAGTTTTCTCTTTCACTCTTTTACAAAAAAAAGAAAAAAAACAAACAAACTTTTTATGCAAATACCCCTAAGGGAAAAAAAATTCATTTTTTAGACAAAAATACCCTTCCCGTAGCACATTATCGGAGTGCACTCAAATAGTGCCAGAGCCCTAAGATTCAGAATGTTACACTGCCGGAGTGCACTTATGCAGTGTCGGAGCGTTGTGTTACACTACCGGAGCGCACTTAAAGAGTGTCGGAGCCCTCTTACGCAGTGCCGGAGCGTAGTGTTACACTGCCAGAGCGCACTTACGCAGTGCCGGAGTGTTGTGTTACACTACCGGAGCGCATTTAAAGAGTGTCGAAGCCTTGTGACTCAGAATGCTCCACTGCCATAACGCATTTACGTAGTGCCGGAGCGCTGTGTTACACTGCCGGAGCGCACTTACACAGTGCCGAAGCGCATTTACACAGTGCCGGAGAGAGGCATGGGTAATGGATAAATTAAGGTTAGTTTTGCTTTTTTATTATTTTTGGGATGGTTGGGGGTATTTGCATAAAACTTTTGTTTTTTTTTGAAAAAAAGTGAGAAAGAAAGTTAGTCGGGTAAGTTGCATAAAAAAATATACTTTGGAGGGCTTTTTTGTAATTTTTCCTATAATCTATCTAGATATAAACTATGGAACCCAAGGTTTCAAAACACTAGTTGGATTAATGAAATTAAAATATTGTGTAAATAATTTTGTTAATATGTAAAATAAAAATATAATGACCAATTCTTTAATTAATCACATAAATACTTCACATTTTCTATTATTATATAATATCATTATTGATTTTGGATATATGAAGATAATTAATTAGATAATGCAGGACAACAAATAACATATACTAACTTACATAACTAATTATCTGTGCACCCGCTTGGTCATAACTTACCTAACGAACTATCTCTTTCTATATTGCCTATAGCACACAAGAAAACATTAACACATCATAAAACATAGAATCAATAACACACAAAACCAATTAAAGTATAATCATTAACTGTACAAATAACCATTATTAGGGGTTGAAGTCAAAAATTTCAAATAAACAATAGAGAAAATTACATATATATCTGTTATATTTTACGTTGTTACGGTTACACCTAATAGTTTCCGTTATTACTCATCTGTCTGTTTTTTGTCTTTCATAATGCTTTTTTTTTAAAAAGACACTTTTGCCTTTTTTTGGATGTTCAATATCCGAATTTATGAAAATTTCAGATGTTCAACATCCAAAAACAGCCAGCTAGAACTATCACTTACAAATTTCGGATGTTGAACATCCGAAATTTTACGCGCCAAAACTTCCCGCGCACAGGCGGAAACTTATATATGTTTATTTTTATAAAGTTGGGAAAAACCACTCGTTAAAAGAATATGCCCCATTTTACTATCCCTTAATACAGTAACCCACAAAGTTGAAGAGATTGACTCACTATTTGGACGTGATTGGTACCATTCTTACTCTTTCTTTATACGGTTGATTAATTAAAGTTTATTTATCTGTTATTATTTAGAATATTTAATTTTGTTAATAACATTTATTGTGTATTTGAGATTAATAAATGGAATTATTTTAAATATTGATGAAGTTGTTTTTTTATATAATTATTTGTTCTTTGTATCATGTTGATACATTGTATTATTTGTTTTGGCGAAATAATTGTTAAACTTGTTTGTTTGTAATAAAATTTGTTGTTTATTTTGTGTTTATGTGAGTATTACTCACGCACTATTTCAATCTATTATGTAATACTCGGATTTTATGAACCCTAAAGTAGTTAGAAATATCCCAATTTTTGGTAATTTTTTTGTAACACTAATTTTGCTTTTCATTTAATGCATGAGTATTGATGATCGCTACTGATAATTTTAGTAGTACACTATTTCAATGTATTATGGAATACTCAGATTTTATGAACCCTAAAGTAGTTAGAAATATACCATTTTTTGGTAATTTTTTTGTGTTGAATTTTTATAACAGTAACTTTGTTATTCATTTAATACAGTAGTATTGACAATGACTACTGATTGAGTGCAACTAGTAATCCAATATGGGGGGTCATTTGAGACGAATGCAGATGACGAACGTGTTATTTATAAAGGAAGAAAAGTGAAGGTCACCAAGTATAATGGGAATAGTTTCTTAAAGGAGATATAAAGTCATTTTGCAAATTTAACCAAGTGTGATCTAAACAAATTAGCTATTATGTACCACAACATAAGTCTATCTAGTGGGCTTGATTTGATTGATGTTAGTGATGATATAGATGTATCTTTTATATTGGGTGGAGAATCTTCGAGAATTGTAGTATATATTGCCGAGGCACAACAAGAATTTGTTCCTGAGGGCCCATCTTCAAGGATTAGGTATATCTGCCCTTTATTTTTTCATCTGTAAATTGCTTTATTTTAATCTTATATGTGTAGAAATTGTTGCTTCATCTTGCACTCTATCTTTTGTCAACAGTTGGTGTAACACTTTACTTGAGCAAGATCAAAATATTGGAGTGGTACCCAACCCTGAGCTTGTACCAGAGCATGATATGGAGGACATTAAACCACTAGAGAGTCCATGTAGAGCAGTTGGTAACGATGTTCAATTGAATGTTGGGCAATTTTTTGAAAATATTAATGAATATCGGCATCATCTAATTTGACAATCCACAACAATTTTGTTTTGAAGTTTGACAAAAGTGAATTAGGACGGGTGTGGGCAAGTTGCAAGGTAGATGGATGCACATGGCAAGTGCGGTGCTTACGAGTTGGCATCACCGCATACTTTAAAGTGAAGTCTATAATTAAGGAGCACACATGTAGTGGTCCCATAGGGAGGGTCCATCAGCCACTAGCTCGTAGTGGTTGTGACAACAAATATTAAAGGCCACCGTCTTGACCAACAAAAAAGTAAAGCAAAAGGCATTGTAAAGGATGTTCAACGTGATCACGAGGTCAGGCTTTCCTACATGCAAGCTTGGCGGGGAAAAGAGGTTGCTAGAGAGATGATAGATGGATCACATGAACAACAATACCATAACCTCCCTCTGTATATTAAGAAGATCAGAAGAACCAACCCAGGAACCTAAGTTCGCATCCACACAAATGAAGATAGGTTCAAACAACTATTCATTGCCTATCGTTCATGCATTATGGGGTTTGTCAATGGATGCAGGCCATTAATTGGTATTGATGGAACATTCCTAAAAGCAAAGTATCAAGGCATTTTATTGTGCGCTATCGCGGTAGATGCAAATAATGAGCTTTTCCCATTGGCATTTGCAGTGGTTGAGAAGGAGAATTACCAGCGTTAGTATTGGTTCTTAAGTATATTGAGTGAGCTCTTAAATGGGTACCCTAGTCTGCCTGCCTTAACCATTATATCGAATCAACAGAAAAGCTTGCCAGAAGCAATAGAAAAATGTTTTCCAATATGTGTTTCCATCATTTTGCATGCGATATATGGGAGAGACTTCAAGGGCTTTATGAAGAGGTCAGCAAATACTGAAATATTGCTGATTCTGTTTTGCAACGCTGCTCGTAAAGCGATCATTGGTGGGTTTGAAAAAATAATGTTTGATATACAGTGTGCCGACCTAGAAGCATATGATTAGATTAAGAATATTTCACCCAATTGTTTGGATTTTATCGGCTCAAGAAATGTCGATCATTACAATGTGTGAAGAAATAAGGATACAGTTGATAACCAAGTTTGAAGAGAAGAGGGAATTAGGTAATACTTGGAGCGCATGTTAGTATCGAAGGCTCAAGAATTACTTGACACGCGAAAGATGTGGGCTCGATTTTTGCACAAAGTTATATCCACCATGGACGCGTGTTTTGATATCCACTATCTTGGGAAGAAGTACGCTGTCGATTTAATGCAGTGGACATGCAGTTGTAGAAAATGGAAACTCAGTGGCATTTCTTGTGCCCATGCTATTGCGGCCATTAACCATATGCATATGGATCCCACTGTGTACTGCCTTAAATATTTTACAGTGAAATACTTTAGAATGGCATTTGAAACTCCCTTTACACCTGTCTCGGATGATATTGAGTTGACATGTATTTACAACCGGACAGTGTTGCCACTAAAGACTACACGCCTTCCAGGTTCGCCAAAAAAAACAACGAAGAATATCCGAAACGGAACATCCAATTACCAGGCCTTTGAAGTGCAAGCGATGCTGCGCAAAGGGTCATAATAGGAGGACATGCAGAGAACCGATAGAGTGAACTTGATGTTAATATTGTATTCTTGTATGGAATTATGATTTTCATGAATTAATGAATTGAGTGAATATTGTGTTTTTGTTGTCAAAATTGTATCAGTGCAATCGGAATTCTTTGATGTCATAAATCTTCTAATAGATGAGTTTGTCAATCTTTGTGTCAAGATAGATGATTTCAATATTAGAAATCTTTGTGATAGCCTTAAAATAAGAAAAATGAAATTCATATCCATACATCCATAATGAGTTATTCTCATGTCCATGCATCCATAAATGATGTCTATTTTTTTATCATGCCAATGCATCTTGATGTCCATGATCAATGTGATGTCTAAATAATTTTGGATGTTCAACATCCGAAATTGACATATTTTTGGATTTTCAACATCCGAAAATGGTACTGTGAAAATCCAAGAAGGTCTTGGATTTTCACAATGAGTT